AGTATGAGGGTCCCCGGACCAGTACGAACCTGTATGGGACCAGTACGGGACCAGCCCGGCCCAGTACGAACCAGTATGGGACCAGTATGGGACCAGCCCGGCCCAGTACGAACTAGTATGGGACCAGTATGGTCTGGCCCGGCCCAGTATGAGGGTCCCTGGACCAGCACGGGACCAGTACGGGACTGGCCCAGCCCAGTACGAACCTGTATGGGACCAGTACGGGACCGGCCCGGCCCAGTACGAGGGTCCCCGGACCAGTACGGGACCAGTTTGGGACCGGCCCGGCCCAGTACCGGCAGGGGAAGCCCCAGTGTGGAGCCCCCACACCCCAGTTTGAAGGACCCTGTCCCAGTATGAGCCCTCCCACACCAGTACGGGCACCCCACTACACCAGTCTGAGGGCACCTGTCCCAGTATGGAGCATTCCCACACCAGTTTCCACAGGGAAAACAATGGGGAAAAAAAAAACAAACAATTCCCCCCCAAAATTCCCCCCAAAACATCCCCGTGGGGTCCCTGCCCTTTGCTCCATCTCCCTCCTCGACTCTCCTGACATTTTTATTTCCTGTTTTTCCCAGGGTTTTTTTGGGCCAATTTTGGGCCACTTCAGCCCGAGGTCCCCTCTAAATCTGCGTGAAAAATATTCCAGGAGAGGAACAAATAAAAATAAAAAAAAAAAAACACCTGGGTCAACATTCCTTTCCAAAATCCTCTCCAGGGGTTTTTCCCCTCTCCAGGGATGATTTCCTCCCTCGACAGATGGGAGAACGTAGTGGAAAACCGAATTCCTTCCCCCCCACAATCACCCCAAACCATCAAAATCCGAGTTTCGACCAAGGAAATATTCCAGTGAAACGTTTCCAGAGGCATCAGAGCCGCTCTCCGATGGAAAGTTTTTATGGATCATTTGTTCTCTCCTTCCCAAGAGCAAAGTGCCAGGGGAGGGGTGGGGTGGGGGGGGATTCCTGGCTCACCTTCCCTCCTGGAATTGGGAGCCTTGTGGGTGACTTTGGGGTGATTTGAGGGTATTTTTGTGGTGGTTTTGGGGTGTTTTGGGGGGTGATTTTTGGGATGATTTGGGGGTATTTTGGGGGGGGTGATTTTTGGGTGCTTTGGGGGTGATTTCTGGTGTGGTTTTGTTGGGGGGGTTTTGTGTGTTTCTGGGGTGATTTGGGGGGGCGTTTTGAGGGAAGAATGAACCCCTCCTGCATCCCTGCGCAATTCCTGGCCCCAATTCCCTCCAGGGAGGGGAGGGAGAGCAGAGCAGAGCCAGGATCTGCCCCCCATTCCCTCCTGCAAGGTGGATCCAGGACGGGAAAGCATCTCCAAGGTCAGGACAAGAGGGAGGAAAACAAAACCCCCTCACCAACCACAACCCCCTCCCATCGCTTGCAGCTCAAATCCAGGGCTCTGGGAAAAGGTGGGCTTGGCAACAGGGTTTTTTTTTTTTTGTGGGATTGAGGAGCCTCGGGAGATATTTGAACACCAAAAACACAACCCAACAGAGCCAGGACGGGGACCTGCAGCTTCTCCCCGGGCAAAGTCACGCCGGTGCCACCCACAGCCCCTCTCTCCACCCTCCCCAAAAACCACTTCTGCGCCACTAAATTGCCTCTAACGAGCTCCCATTTCTTCCCCCAGACGTTGTTTTCCCCTCATTAAATCCATTCGAAGCTCTTTAAGGCATCATCCCCCACGCAAACAGGGGCTGCTGAACCCGCTGCTCCGTGGGGTTTTTTTTTTTCTCGGGCACTTTGGGTTTAGGGGACACTTGATCAACCCTGGGGCTTCCTGGAGGCATTTCCCTCAGCCCTTGCTGATGGTTGCATCCCGGATTTTGAGGGGTTTGAGGATGGAAAGGGGGGAAAAATGATGAACACCCCGAGTTTTATTTTAGCCCTGGGGGTGGCCCAGGTGATGGAGCAGCTTCGGGTTGGGGCTGCAACCCCACAAAGTTTGACTCACGTCACCAATAACAGGATTTTGGAGGGGCAGGGGCAGTGCTTGGGAATCATCTTTGTCCCAAACACCACCAGGCCCTGCAGGAGCAGCCAGATCTGGGTGTCCTGTGGGTCCCCTTTGGTCCCCAGGGATGTGAAGCCCAAGGCTCTGTGGGGCCACTTGGAGCAGCTGGAGGGCTTTGACAGTTGTTTGGGTTTTTTTTTATAAAAAACCCCATCTCCCTCAGCAAAAAGATGTTCCCAGAAGCCTTTTACAGGATCAAGACCTTCCAGTCTCAGCCTCAATCAAAGGTGACAACGGCCCAAAGCACAAAGACAAGGAGACCGACCTCCCCAAATAATCGGCCCGCGCCGAAAACCCCGGGTCTGAACAACAAAAACAACAAATATTGTTCGTGTGCCTAATAATGATCCTACCATCCCATAAAATCCTGAAGCCTCTCGAAGCATCAGGCACAGGAATCCGTGGAATTCCACCGGGAACATGCCAGGACCCCTGGGAACACCCAGGAGCTCTCTCCGAGCTGCCACCAGAGGGGGGGGTCTGCAGGGCCCCCCAAAATGAGAGGAGGGGGCCGAGCCCAGCGGGCAGGAGGGATGGATTTGCCAGGGCACCCCAAAACGAGAGGAGGGGGCCGAGCCCAGCGGGCGGGACGGGTGGGTTTGCCAGGGCACTCCTGGGATGGCGTAGACCCCCCCGTAGCCCCCCATCCCCCGCCTCGTGCCCCTCAGCCCCTCCAATCCTGCCCCACAGAGCCCCCCCGAACGGCCCCGGGGACCCCGGAACGGGAGCCACGTGCGATTTTTCCGCCACGCCCCCGCCACGCCCCCCGTGGGCGGGGCCGCGCTCTTCACCAACCATATAAGGCGCTGGTGGGCGTGGCCGAGGCGGTGCCGCGCTGGCATTGGCGGGGCGTGGTCGGGGTGGGCGTGGTTGGATGTGGGCGTGGTCATGGGGGGCGGGGCCAGAACCGCCGGTTCCCGTCAAAAGGCGGCACCGGGAAGGGGGTGGGGGGGGCGGTGGCGGCGCCGGGATCGAAGGTACCGGAGGGGGGGACAGCGGGGGGGACACCGGGAGAGCCGGTGCGGGGCGAACCCCCCGCACCGTGCCCGGGCTCGGGGGTGGCACCGGGACACCGGTGATGGACGAGGGGTTCGGACCGGGGGGGGACACGGGTGGGTGACAGGGGGTCACCGGGACCGGGAGATCGGGGTGAGGGGTGGCCGCGGGTGACCCCCTCCCCCCGTGCCGTGATGGAAGGGACACGGACACGGGACAACTCCCGCGCGGAACTGCCTCGAGGGTTTTGGGGGGTCCCAGAGGAGAGCTGAGCCTCTCCCGTGAGCTCCGTGCGCTCCCTGGTTAAGGGTCTCGCGTGGGCGCGGGGTTCGCGCTGTTCCCCACCCGGGTTTGGGGGTCCTGGGTGTGTTTGAGCCCCCTGGGGTGGCGTCGGGGGGTCCCGTGCGAGACCCCCTCCCACCCACTGCCTCCCCCCTGCTGGAGACCCTCAGGGCTTTCCCTGCCAAAGTGGGGGGTCCCCGTGGGGGTTGGGGGTGTCCCTGTCCCTCTCTGTGGCTCCTGGGGGTGGCTCCTGGTTTTGGGGTGTCGGGGTCCCTGACCACCCTTTGCTGGACCCTGGAGATTTGGGGTGCCCTGGGAGGGGTGGAGGGCGAGTGTGATTTCCTTTCCCCCCTAAATTTCCCTCTGGGGTTGGGATGAACTGGACCCATCACACACTCCACTTTGGTGTGAACCCCTTTTTTCCCCTCTGAGCCCCTTCATGGGAAGCCACCCCTGTCCCACTCCCCATGCCCCATCCCTGCGTGTGCCCCCTTTTTTGGGGGGGGCTTTGAAGCTTTTTGGGGTGTTAACTGGTGGTTTAGGGTTTCCAGCCTGTTCCTTTACCGGCTCTCTGACTCAGAGAAGTGCCCGATTAACGATCAGCTTTCGATGCACGTTAAATCAACCTCCCAATTTCCCAATTCAGTGGTTTCTTTGAGGCAGACTAAGGGGGCTGAGACCCTGTGGTGGCACTAATTGCACTCTGTTCCTAATTCCCCAGCGCCTTTCCATCCACTGGAGGTTGGGACTGCCTGGATCAGAGAGTTCCCAGCACAAGAAAAACAAAGGTATGGATGGAGTGGGGGGATCTTCCTGAAGCTCCTACATGAGAACCTGGGGGTCCTTCCCAGGTCAGGACGAAGCCCCCCAACCTTGGGGAGTTGTGGGGACGGGGAGGGCTGATGAAGGGGGCAGGTAGAGGTGTCTGAGCTGTTCCTTCCTCTTAAGGTTTCCTTCCTCCCCCCCCCCCTCCTTTTTTATTTGAGTAAAAGTTTTTTTTTCTTCAGAAAGTGGTTTTCAGGAGAAGCAGCGTTTTTGTGGCGTGTCCTCCTCCTCCTCCTCCTCCTCCCCCCACAGGGCCCGGGCAGTGACTCATCTTCCTCCCAGCCCTGGGTTAAAGGAGCGCCAGCCGTGTCGGGGACACGTGTGTGTGTGTGTGTGTGTGTCCTCTGAGGGCAGACAGACAGACAGACAGACAATCAGACACCTCAGCGTCCTGTCCCCCTCCATGGAACCCCCCTGGCTGCTTCCTCGTGGGCTCTGAGGGGGTCTGGCAGTGATGGTTGGGAGGGCTCTTTAACCTGCCTGCTCTTTGGGGAGGGGGAAGGAAGTCGAGGCTGTAATTACTCATTTGAATGAAACCTCTTCTGCCTTTCCCTGGAGATGTTGAAAAACAGAGTTAAACCCGGCTTAGGGGTGGGGTGGGGGTTAAACCCGGGTTCAGTGGGGTCTTCTTGTTGTTGGGATTTTGGAGAGGGCTGGTGGGAGTGGGTTTAACCAGAGGGAGAGGGGGGGAAAAAAAGTGCCAGGGTGAGGTTGGGCAGCTCTGGGGGGTTGGCAGAGCCCTGTGGCATCAGGGGCACGAGGAGGAAGAGGAAGAGGAAGGCCTGGCAGGTGCAGGGAGTGTCTGCCCCGTCTGCCCAAGGTGTGAATGGATCACTTGGGAGATCTCCCAGCGGGCAGGGGAATGACAAAGACACCAAAAAAATAGGGTTTTCCACGGGGCAAAGAGTGTGCCTCGGGTCAGGTGGGTGTTTGTTTCTCCCCCCCCATCCTGCTGAAGATGAAATAAGTGGATAATCCAGCCTCTTCCTCCCTTTAATCACTAACCCTGCCCCTGGGTCTCTGTGGGCAGAGGTGCTCTCAGGAGTAATTTTTAACCTCCCGTGGCTGAGCTCAGTTAAAAGGGGTCTGTCTGAGCAGGGGAGGTGTCACATCTTCACCTGCTGGTGCCAGGGGAGCTCCAGGGGGAAGGGGGGGACACGTTTTGGGGTCCCTGATGACACCCCCCCCACCAAGGAGGATGAGAAGGTGAGGAAAGCCAAGCAGGGGCTGCTCCAAGGGGTGAATTAAATTTCATTAGAAGGAGGTTCCCGTTTTTGGGGGTGTCTCACGGGCTGGGTTTCCTTACCGTTGTAAATAAACGAGGAGAATTCTTGTAAATAATGTCATTACTACGTGATGCAGGTGGCAAGTGAATAAATGCAGGTGAAATCTAAGGAATTATGGGGAGGATTGGGGGGGAGACACTGCCAGGTTTGGAATGGAATGGCAGTGGTGTGGACTCACAGCAGTTTTGTAAAGCTTGGGGTTAAAATATGAAACCCCTCCCCTCCCCAAAAATGAGAGAAATGCGATTGGAACCACCGCTTAAAATGAATATTTTGACCCACCATCGACTGCTGAGCATTAGTGTGTTAATTCTGTGTATAAATTAAGGTATTTATTAACATAATTAATAATTTTCATTTATATGTATAAACATATATAAATATATTATATATAAATATTTAATATATGTTTATAAACAAAATACACTATATATATAGAATTAATATTTATAAATATATAAAATCTATTATATATAAGTATATATAATTTATAATTTATATTATAAATACACAGTTACTAATTAATATAATAAATAATTATATAAATTACTAGTTTAGTATCATTAATATATTAATAGAAATTTATTTGCAATATAATTAATAAATTGACATGAATTTCTTTATTGTACCATTAACACATTAGTAGACATTTAGTATTGCTAATAAATTAATATAAATTTATTTCTCGTAGAATCAATAAATCAATATAAATTCGTAAAAATAATATAAATTAATATAAATTAATGTGTTAATTCTGCATTTTAATAATGAGGGAAGGGTTTAAACCAAGGTGTGAGGGCAGCAAAAGTCCAGGCAGGTGGGGAAGGTGGAGACTCTTTTTAAAATGGAGATTCTCAGGGGGGGTGACCTGAAGAAGGAGAAGCCGTGGCTGATGGAATTGACCTCCTGGTAAGGCCAGGAGAGCTCATTGTGGGACAACAGGGCGTTCCCAGTGCCCCTGACCAGCTCCCACCTCCACCTCCACCTGCTGACTCAGCTGCTCCCCACTCACATTCCCCTTATCAGCCTCGTGCCAGCCAGGTTTGGCCCCTCATAAACGGGGAGCTGGGGGTGTAAAAGTGATGAAAAGCAGTCCTTGGGAACCTTTATCTGCCCATCTGAAGCCGTTTCCTCATTGCCAGGTGTCCATGGTGTCCGCCCAGGACCTGCTGACGTGACTCCCGAGCCACCAGGACGCTGGTGAGTGACTCCCTCGTGCTGATTGTGGACTCCTGATGCCTTTCTGCCCTTTCTCCCGAGAAGTTTTTTTGCTGTTTTCCCCCCCCCTTCCCCGAGGGTTTCCACACCAGGGCCTGTCTTCTCCTTTCCACCCCGTTCCGGGGACGCCGCTCCGTTCCCGGCTACCCCTGTGGGTGCTGCTCGGGTTTCTCCCTGCCAGGGCTGCACCAAACCCCAGCTCCTGCTCCCTCAGCGCTCCCACTCCTTGGGCAAGAGGCCTCCCATGATGGGCCAGCACCAGACGAGGAAGGGGGGTGATGATTTCCCTGCCCACCAGGTGCCACCTCGGGCGGGTCACCCACCCACCAGCTGAGGGACGGGCGCTCTGGGTGTCCCTCAAACCTTCTGTGCCCTCCCCAAGGGCTTGTGCTGACAAGAGGAGGAGGGCTCCTCAGAAACTCTTCCCCTCCTAGCCCCATAAAACAACCCCCCTGCTCGGAGGGCAGATAAGATACGCTCGGGTCTATATTTAGACTTTGCTTAGCCCTGCGGAACGTGCCGCGTCCTTGAGCTCACCTGGGTGTCCCCAGAGGGGGGACAACGAGCCCTGCCTGCCACGTGGTGCCCCTGGGAGACACCAGCTTGGGGAGGGCTTGGCTCCTTCCACCTGCCCCCCGGCGCCCCAGTGTTGTTTTTCCACCAGGTGAAGAGATTTTTTTTTTTGGTGGTTGTTTCCGTAGCCTGGCTCGGGCTCAACGGGAAGCTGCTGCCCAGTTCCCAGTCCTGAGCTTTAAATCTCTGGTTTGGGAGCTCTTCCATGAGGAGGACAGAGCCCTCCTCAGCAGAGTTTTCCCGGTGGGTTGTTTTCCTTCCCTGGTTTCTCCTGGCACTGGGGTGCAGGCACCTCCTGTCCCCATCTCTGCCCCTGCTCCAAGGAGAGCCCATCCACCCTTTCACTGCCTGCTTGGACACTCAGGGAATTCCATGGCCTGGTCAGTGCTGGACAGAGGAGGAGAAACCTGGCTTTGTGCTCTGCTGCTGCCCAGGGTGTCCTCCTTGTTGCACACAAAGAGCCAGGGCACAAAAACTGGTGGTTTGGCCCCATTTGTTGCTTGAGTGATGAACTCTTTAGAGGGCACCGTGTGCTCCAGGGTGAGGGCTGGGAGGTGGGGGGTGGAAATCGCTCCAGCTCATCCCTGGCGAGGAGAAAAGCAGAATTACCCAGCAATTTCTGGGGAGAGAGGAACAACTTCCAACCCTGCGCTCTCACCCACTCGCTTCCCCCAGCGGCAGGAAAATTGCCAGGGAAGGAACAGGGCAGGGCACGGCTCTGCCTCGCTGTCACGTGCCCCTGCCTGGGCTCAGCTCTCCATTTACCTGTCAGCTTGTCCAGACAGGTGGGAGAAGCAGAGACCTGGCAGCCAGCTCCTCCTTGGCACGCTCCTGGGACAGGGAATTGCCCCTCCTGCCCCAGGAG